ACAAATGAATCTTTTATTTGCATTAATTTGCGATGTTAATTACAATAATTGAATGTTTTAATCATAATATTTGAATATGTTTTTTTTTTTGGAAAAAAGGTGAACAAATAAGGTAATCTGTAATTAGCAATGATAAGTTCTCATAACAGATGTCAAATTTGCCATTTAAAAGCCAAACAGATGCTATCGCATAGAATTTTTATTAATGTTTACGTCAATTTGTTAACAGAATTTATTTTTAAATCATAAATTTAAAAAATCAAACAAATTATATCAGCCAATTAATATATAAAAATAAATCAATGAAATGAAATTATAGATAAAGTATGTTTTTTATAGAAAAGATATTATTTGATTTGATATTTTTGTAAATTACTTTTTGCCTATATTATATTCAGAGTTAATGTATACTTTGAAATAATTTATAATTTTAACATTTATTTTGTTCAGTTTTTTGTTCACTTAGACAGAAATAATAATTATTGAATAATACTGAAAGCAAGATGAAAAGAAATTTTTTAAAGAAATTTTGTGAACAAACTACAAAATATGATATTATTGATGTTAGTTAATTAAAGTATATTAAAAAATTTATGACTTACTTAATTGTTTTTGATCACTTTAAGGCCCATTATAACGCATATTTCTGTATTGCTAGGCTTATTAACTGGAATTTTACTAATGCAATAATCAATAACACAATAATAGAATTGAAAATATCATCATTTTTATTAAAAGTATACAAAATTGAATTTTATATGTGTGAGAAATTTCAAACAATTATTGGAATGCACAATGTTCAGGCAAATTTGATTTACATCTGTTTAATGAAATGATTATCTTTTCTAAAAAACAAAAAAAAGCGCAAAAAACTTCGAGATAAATCGGGAAAAAAGTGATCAAACTGTATGGAATGATAAGAAAATGATATGATATGATATGATATGATATGAACTGTTTTGTGAAATGTCTCGAAAGGTATGCAAAATTAACATCAAAAATACAAATAAATTGTATATCTTGAACAAATTTCGAGTAAAACTAATTTTATTAGCACTCGATCGTAGCTGCAAGAATTGTAAAATTGACAATGTTAGCAAAGAGTGAATTTATTTGAAATTAAAATTTATTTCAAGCTAAATTTATTTTATTTTAAATTATTTTTGTTCGTTATAAAATTTTCCAAAAATCTTTATTTAAGTAAAGTTCACATATTTGGCCAATTAATTTGATAGAATTTCAATTTGTAATTATAAAATGCATTTTAGAGTAATAAAATATAAAGTAATAATAAAAAATTAATTTCATACTCTAACTGTACCATATTTATAATAGTAATAATTATAAATTTTCTTTCAAGTTATTAATTATTTATTTAATTAAGTTGTGAGTCAAATAGCAAAAAATTATGATTACGGGAATACGTGTTCGTAAATGACGTAATAATACTAACAAAAAATGTTTATTATTTGTTGAAAATGATTTTGTTAAAAATTATGTAAATTTTGGTGCATTTTTGTTTGGATAAATGATATATTCATACATCAATTCATTAATAAAATTACGAAGTATTTTTCGTAATTATACAAGATTTTCCCGTAATCAATAAAAACCTAAAGATTATGTATAATCTCCGGCAATTGATAGTGAAACCTTAAATTCTCACCGGATCAGGTTAAAAATCCTTAATGATCCAAAAATTTGCAAAATGGGTAATGAAGGAGAAGCGTGGAAGTGTGGAAGAAGTTTACTTGTTCTTTGATCCGTTTCATTAGTTTGTGATTAGCAGCTGAAGGTAGGTTGTAGCTTTTAATTTCAGGTTTTCCGGAAAATTAGGCTGCGCATTCCGTATTTTATTATATGCTTAAGTGATGAATGTAGTGATCTGTTTTATGTAATTAGCAGTACTTGTTAATTTCTTTTGTTTATTTTTTGTTTCTTTATGATCATTAGATTAAATAATTGATTTATTTAATTGATTAGTTATGACTGACCGATGTTTTTCTTTTTTTATAACAATACTTTATCATAATTTTCTAGTTGTATTATTAATTAGTATGATATTTCCCATTTTTTGTTTTAGATATGTCAAAATCTGCAGAAGCAAAAGAAATTTCTAAAGATAATGAAAATGATCAATTATATTCAACGGATCAGCAAGCAGGTCAACAGCTGACAAAAAATGGTGCAACACTAATCGAACAGATCAATAAACAGAAAAAAGAAATTGAAGATGAAGTATGATAAACTTGATTTTGTGAAAATTATTATTAAGTCAACAAATAATTAAATGACTGTATATATAGAAGTAATTGAAATTGATTGGGAAATGTACTGTTTTTGAATTATTTGATTTACAAAAAAATGATGGATTTTTGTTTTTTCGTTCTTGTTTTGTTTTTTTTTTTTTTTCGTTTTTTTTTTTTTTTTTTTTTTTTTTTTTTTATTCGGGAAATAAAGGAAAATAATGATTTAGATAAGGAAAGAGCAACCGTTGGTCGCTCAGAAGGAAGCAATTAGCGTTTTATTAAATGAATATGATCGTGATAGAAGTGCTGAATATTATCAGAAATCAGAGGTAATCAGACAATAGTTTGGTGAGCATTGACAAAGTTATTTTATGAATTACATTTTGGGCATATGTGACTTATCTTTTGATAATGTTTTCCTAATGATTTAGGAAAGTAGTTAGGTATTTTTTTTTTAGGAGTTGGCAAAAGTATATAGTTTTCTACGTCGTATTCGTGGTGATGGTTGCTGTTTCTATCGAGCTCTTCTTTATGCTCAGCTTGAATATATTTTAAAGGATGCGGAAGAATTAGCCAGGTTTTTTTTTTTTTTTTTTAACTGTTGAGAATTAATTTATTTCATATTTGTTAATTACATTGAAGTTCTAATCATTGAAGGTTTACGAAAGTATGCAAAGAATGGCGGCAACGTTTAATAAAACTTGGATTTCCAGAATTCACTACGAACGACTTTTGTGATTGGGTGTATTTTTTAGACATTTGTAGAGATAGTTGGTGTTGTTAATGGTCAGTTAAATCAATTAATATCCGAAAAATGGATGTTTATTTATGTCAGAAGGAAATTATACATCCTTAGATAGTTTTAAAAAAATCTTTTTAGTGTTTTTTTTTTTTAATGAATTCATGCTTATATTTTTTGAGCTTTTTTTTTATTTGAACACAAGAACGTGAAAGATTTGTCGAACAGTTTTTTAATGTAATAGCGTATTCAGTTCGATGAGTTGTTGGATGGTATTGCAGCGGGGCAATATAATGAAAACTTGCTTATTGAAGCTCTGAATGAAGAAGGCCGTTCAAATTACTACGTAACTTTCTTTAGGTTTCTATTTCGTTTTTTTTTTTTTTTCTTTTTTTTTCAGTTGAATTGAAAGTCTGCAATATCTTACGAGTGTTTGTGGTCATATACTGAATTCCGTCTTTCCCCGGAAAAAATCTTGCAATTTTCCTCACGCAGTTTTTTTGTTTTCATATTAATCCACTGATATTAGCATGAGACGTTTAAATAAAATTTACATGAAAAAAAATTGTTTTTTTCTTTGTTTTAGGTTAATCACATCCGGTTATTTGCGAGAAAATGCTGCTGATTATGAGGGTTTCATTGATGGTGGCCGTACAATCGAGCAATTTTGTCAATGCGAAATAGAACCAATGTTCAAAGATTGCGATCATTTAGCAATTATTGCTTTAACAAATGCTATAGGTATTTACTATTTACTTATTAGAATTTCGTATAGTGAATCAACTATTATTTTTGTTTATGCTAAACTTAAGGCAATCAATCTGGAGATTTTCACCCTATGATAGATTGAAATGTGACAAATAGAAAAATGCAGACGACAATAGACTCAATGAAACTGTAAATACGAAAATTACAGGTGTATCAATTCGTATTGAATATATGGATCGAACAGCAGCACTACATCATGGCTGGTTTTATGATTTTATTGTCGATAAGAAGCTACCAAGGCATTTTTTTCTTTATCGTCCGGGTCATTATGATATTATTTACAAGGCTTAATGGCTTATCTTGTTCGTTCCGTTACCACTTTTCTTCTAATTCCAATTTGTTGCATTGTTTGGAATTCAGATTTTTTATTTGAAATGTATTTTAAAATATAAAGGTTAATTATTAACATTGGGGTGATGATTTGAGTGGTTAAAACTGACAGTTGTTTGTATGGATCTTTTTCAGGAAATTCTTATCAAATGCATAATCAATTGTACCATTGGTTACAAAGAATTCACTTAAAAGCTTTTGTTAACAAAAATCATTAGAATGAAGGTTATCGGAAAGATTGATTAAATCAGATGAGTATTTTTCTCCCTTTTCTCGAATTTTTTGGCGGTTTAAATTGCAAGTTTTAGAGTGCAGGATTATCAGAGAGATTAACTAGATCAAATGAGTATATTTCTTCCATTTCGCTTCCTTTTCGAATTTTTTTGACAGTTTGAACAGTTCATATAAGAAACTCAATTTAAGAGGGTTTTCTTTTTCATTTTACTTCAGGAAAATTGATGATTATTATTCATCATTATTTATTGAAAAGATTGAGATGGTGGTAATATTTGGTCTTTCAATCGTAATCAACCTAGTTGACGTTAAATTTGAGCTGTTTTTTTCTCTTTTTTTTTTAATACAAATTTATTGTGCACATATATCTACGCATAATTTAGAAAATGTAGTAAGCATAATCATGTGTACATCTATTGGAAGTTCACTCAGGAATTGCGTATAGTTCGTAACAAATTTAGATTTATGTTTCATTTATGTTTGTGATTTTAAATAAATTTGTTGCATATGCAATGTTATTCAGAAAGTCATATAATATATATATATATATATGCTTTTCTTTTTTGCATTTAATCATTTTTACTTTTGCAAGATTCTACAACAGCCGAAATTATATTCATAAATTTGTAAAAAAAAAAAAAGAAAAAAAGAAAGGAAAAACAGATCCAATTAAAATTCATTTAAATTGATTTATGAAAGTCTTCATAATAATCGGAATAGATGTTTCGGGTTGATTCAGTTGTGGCAGAATTATGATCTGTTTGTTTTGAGATGGTCATTTTACTACTACTTGTATTGCCAATATTGATTTTTACTGGTAGATCGGGATTTTTTGGCTGTATTACTCGTTCACAATCACTGGAAAAAAGTTTTTCTCTTTTTTCTGTTCATTTCTCTTCAATTATTTTTAAATTTAGCTTTGATATGTCGGTCATCTTTTTAAGAATTCAAAACATTAGCACATTTAGCATTCGCAATAAATAGCTAACCAATTAATTAAGCCATGACGCATCATTTCGATCTCGTCCCATCCGATATGTTTCTGCGCTAATGTCATCTATGAATTTAAGGTAATTGAATTATTATAAGGATGTTTGATAAGATATACCATTATTGATTTTTGTAAAGTAAATAGTGGATAAATAAATGCAAGAAGTTAATTTATATGAATTAGAAAACGAAAAATTATATAAAATTTTTTTGCTTAAAAAAAAATTGCTTCCTAATTGATTTTTTTTTTATTTTTTCCTCTTCAAAATTTCCAATTATTTTCTTTTAATGATACTTTTTTTTTTCTTCTGTTTTTATTTGAAAATCCTTATAAGGAAATAATTTTACATTCGATATTAGAAGAAATGCTAATGATAAATGTTAACATACCTCCGAATTATAATTATCATCATCTTGTCCAGCACTACTTCGAGATTTGGATGTTATTATTGTTGGGAAATCACTTAATTTCTAAATTATATTATTACATTATATTATCATTAGTTATTTGAAATTTTATTTAAGCTTGTTATGAAGTTTAAATTGATTGATGATATTTTTGAAAATTTCCTACAAACCTTACTGGCTCCAATCCTGTATCATTCAATTCCAACACTGATTTGATAGAATTGCTAGTTGATTTCTTTTTTTGCTTATCATTTTCATCCGTTTGTTCATCCGTATGAGTGATAGGACTTGATTGATTGATTGATTCAGGTGAATGAATTTTTGGATAAAATTGTTTTTGAGAATGCTGCAAAAACTTGATTATATTTTAGGATTGTAGAGACAATAAAATTTGTATGTCACCATTTTAGATTAACTTATTTATCACTGTCACCACTATACGTTAACATTGATCTGTGATAATCTTTATTTTCTTCCTTTTTTTTTTTTTCTCTCAACAATTACATTTCACTGATTACTACATTGTTATGTGATAGTAATAAATAATGTCACACTATCTTAAGCAAATAGCGTCAACTCAAATCAATAAACTTTATTTGATTAAAATTAATAAATGGAAATGAGGATAAAGTATAACTGGAATTTCCATCCGGAATATCTAATGGAAAAATATTGATTTAGATTTTTATAAAGAGAGAGAGAGAGAGAGGGCGAGAGATTTAGAGAAGAGAAAATGTATTAATAAAAACTAAGCAAATTTATCATTATTTCACTATTTTTTTTGTGAATTAATTTAATATCTTTTAATGTATTATACTATTTATTGTTTAATTAACTATCAATTGATTTGAAATATGATTTTAGTAATTAAAAACTTTTTCTTCTCTCATTTTTGAATATTATTATATCGAATTATATTTTTTGATTATATTCGATTATAATTTGAATTATATTGTTGATACTGGATGATTATAGTTTGTTATTATCTTCGATGATTTATTACTATAAAAAATCCGAGATTTAGAAAAGAGAAAATATATTAATGAAAACTTTATGAAAAGAAAGAAGGAAATATATTAATGAGGAATGAGTCTAAAAAAAGTGACAAAGCTAATAATTTAATAAAGAATTATTTAAAATTAATAATCTAAATAGTAAAAAATGATTTATTTATAATAATTTGTTTAAAAAAAAAATGAATAATATTATTTGATTTATTATTGTTGAAAAGATTTCTATCATTGTTTCATTATATGTTTGACTAATTGACTAACTAATGTAATTATTTTTTACAATTTCATATTTATAATTATATTTGAATAAATTTCAAGATTTTTTAAAATTAATGAATTAATTAATTAATCAAAAAATTAATAAGATAAAAGTTATATCTATTCCTGTCAATTGTAATTATAATTATCTATTACAATTAATTTCGATTATATTTATTTCAGTGATAAGAAGAGAAGGAAAGAGGATGAGATAGAGGGAGAAAGAAAGAAAGAAAAAAGAGGAGTACTGATTAATTTTCTTTTTTTTTTTAACCTGATAATTAATTATATTCCAATTGAACATTACGGTAGCAATAATACCAATTAATGTAAGTGCTACAATATAGACAATTCGAATTACTTTATGAAAAGTTGATATTTCATCATAATCTTCTTTTATTGTGTAAAAAATTGTCTCCTAAAAAATTTATTAATGCTTTTAATTTAATTAATTAATTAATTAATTCATTGATCAATTAATCAATGTATGTATACATTTCTATGATAAAAATTTGATACATGTAGTAAACTTGTAATTATATGAAAGTTCCTTTTTTTTTTCTCATTACTTTTTCAACTTTTTTTTTTAAAATTAATTTAACAATTATTTAAACTATTCTATGAAATTGAGCATACCTTAATGGTAGAGAAGGTATTATTATTTTTTAGTTGTACCATTAATACCAAATTAAAACTAAATAATAAAGCATAAATGTTTCGATGCATACCGACTGCTTCCGACAATTTAAATGAAATGCTTATAAATTAGTAAATTTATGCAATTCTTCTCTTTTTGTTTTCTTTTTAATGTATACATATATGTTTAAAATTGAATAATTTAATTGGTTAGCTCAAGTATTTCATGTTCATTTAAATAATTTCAAAAATTTTATAGATTTGATCATTTTAAATCAATCTTATCTCTCTTCTTTAACTCTTTTTTTTCTTTTTTTTTTTTATTTCTACAATCATAATTTATTAATTTGTTTTAATTTAATTAATCATTCAATTTTTCCTTCTGTTTCATATTAAAAAAATGGAAATAAAAAGTGAAAAGATAATGATATTTACTGATATTTCAAATTCATTAATTTAAACTTGAAAATAACAAGGAAATTGAATTAACAGTAAAATGATTATTTATTTATGTATGTATGTATGTATGTATGTATGTGTGTATGTGTGTATGTGTATGTGAAGATAGGAAAAAAAATTGATTGATGAAGAGAATTAAATTATGAGATTAAAATGAGGTCATTTAACAATCTGTGACTAAATAAATGTCCCACGAGCGAAATATACAAGCGTTCCATCGCGACACACCGATCATATCCATTTGACAATTTTACTATGTCATTCTGATGATTATATTAAATCATAGAATTTATATATTTATATTTAATCACTTTTCTTTTTTAATTTAATTAATAAATTTTTTATTTTGTTTAATGCAAAAACAAATGATTAGTCATAACTACAATAGTATCCAAATAATTGTAATATTTTTATTAAAAATTTACTATGAATTTATAGATTTAGGCTTAGATATTAAATTTAATATATTATTAAAATAATGAAAAAAAAGAAAAAAAAAAGAAATTGCAGTAAATTATCAACGATATTAGAATTAGTATTTTCATTAAGCAGCAAAATGAGAGAATTGATAAATATTTAACTGACTGTTTTAATGATAAAGCAATTAATTTATTATTATTATTATTATTATTATTATTATTATTATTATTATTATTATTATTATTATTATTATTCGTAATATTATTATTATTATTATTTATAACACAAAAAAATATAATAATTGGTAATATATGAATTATTGTTGTAGCTGAACAAATTGAATGATTAGTTTTGGCAAAAGATTTTGAGGAAAAAAAATAAAAATGAATTGAATAAAATCAGTCGGACAATTGGCTTATGCTATTAAATTATGAATTATTTAAATAACACTAACTTTTTTTTTTGCTTTTTCTAGAATAAAGTTATTTGGAATAAAATATCCAAAATAATTCCACAAATACAAGAAAAAAAGTGGATAAAATGATGAAAGTTATTAGAAGAGAAATAGCAAAATAAATTAATTAGAAAGAAAAACCTTCTTTAAATTAATAAATGAATATTAAATTTCATTATACTAACTTATTTTTACTAAACTAACTTATATTTCGACTGCAATAATTTATATTTAACTTATATTTAAATATGTTCTATGTAAAAATTGATAAAATAATTTTTTATCATTTTCTTTTCTTTCTTTTTCAGGTACTATTATTCCGATTAACAACAATTTTAGTAAAAAAGAATACAAAAATAAACAAACAAAGTGCATTATTGAATTTTAATCGATGGTAAATGTTATATGAATCACATAAAAGTGATAAATTAAAATTACAATTAAAAATGAAACTTTTACAACAAATTATTCGTCCATTATTGGGTATTTTCTTTGGTATAACTCTTTTATTAACATCATTCTTTGGTGATTCAGTAATTATGCTAATTTTACCAATGCTTTTACTCAATCATCAACAATGGCGTTTATTAATTGATCGTGCAATTAGTTTTTGGATTATTATACCTGTTGTAAGCTTCTTTTTCTATTATTTTTTTATTTCTTTGAAATTATTTTTTTTTTAATATATTTTTTAAAATCTCTTTAAAAACACATACTAATTTTATTCAATCATTGTCAAAATTTTCCCAAAGAAAAATATTATTAAATTTATTATTAAAATATATTTGCAATGGAATGCAAAAAAAAATAATTCTTTTTTTTTTTTACATTCAATAATAATAAATGATTTTAAAAAAATAGTTTTTGCTGATAAATAATTGAATTGATGAAATAAAGTAATTATTAGTCAATTTTATCGTTTAGATCAATCGAAAGAAATATACTACGATCACTATAATTGATTATTTAATATATTAGCTTAAAAATAAACAATATTGATAATATGAATTTAAAAATAATAATAATAATAACAATCACAAATTTAAAATGATCGGATTTATATTGATTATTATCATATTATTTTTTTCATTATTATCATTTGATTATTATTATCTCTTCATTTTCCTCTTTTTTTTTTTTTACTTTTTTTATTCGATTTAATTTGCAATCGAAAGAATATAAATTTCTATGATTTCAATAATTAATAATTAAAAAAATTTTACAAAAAAAGAAAAAAAAATTTTCGTAAAAGTAAAAATATTTATTTCAGACATTTTTGGAATATATATTTGGTATGAAATTCAAAGTAATCGGTGATACGATTGATTATGATCGTCCAGCATTGATCATAATGAATCATCGGACACGGCTTGATTGGATGTATTTTTGGGCGGCATTGTTTAAGATGAATCCATGGCTATTAATTAGTTCAAAAATTGCTTTAAAAGCTGAACTTCGACATATACCAGCAGCAGGTTTACTTTTATTTACTATAAAATTTCATATAAAAATTATTTCTTATTTTTCTTTGATTGTTTCAAATTTTAGTTAAACAAATTTTTCATTATTTCACTAAATTAAGTATGATTAGAATTAAACTATACTTTAACTAAACTGAAATTTAAAAGTAAAAATTGAATGATTTAATAATTGTTTTTTGATTTATTTAAAGGTTTTGGAATGGAAGCAAATCAGTTTATTTTTTTGGATCGTAAAATAAAAACGGATAAGGAACGAATTTCGGAAGCAATCCGTTATTATGCATCTGTTGGAAGCAATTATCAGGTTTTATCTTTAAAATTATCATTTTTAAATATCTCTTACAATCTATAAATGATAATTGGTGCTAAAATTCCATTAGTTTCTATCAGTAAATAAATTAAATTGAACAAAAAAAAAAAAGTTTTTTTTAAAATTTATTCGCGTTATCTAAGCAAATAGTTACATTTAAAAGTTTAACGATTAAATTTAAGAAAGAAAAAGAAAAATAAAAATGAAATATTCATTTTAGATACAGCGCTATAAATTTAGCTAATTTTATTTTATCAAATTTTTTTTTTTTTTTTGATATTTTATTATTTTATTATATTTCGTTTTATTCTAGTTGACTAAGTATAATTTAAATTAGTCAGTTAGATGTAATTTTTTTTCTAATATATATAAAAATACAATTCTTTAAACGAAAGAAAAAACAAAATATAAAAAGGAAAATTATTTGGTTACTGCTAAAATTAAACTGAATATATTTAGGAAATTGAAAAAGATTAGTAAAATTTTATATACATTTTATTTTATCTTAATTAACATTTTTTTTTCATATATTTTATTAATTTAAAAATTTTTTCCATTTTTTTAAAACAAAAAAAAAAAAAAACTGCCACTACTTCAATCAATTTTAAAACAATATTTAACCATAATTAATTATTATTTATTTTTATATTATTATTATTATTATTTAGATATTATTATTTCCTGAAGGAACGGATAAAACGCCCAGTACAACAATGAAAAGTAATAATTATGCAAAAAAGAATGGTTTAAAACAATTAAATAATTTAATCTATCCTCGTTCAGCTGGATTTATTCATTTAATCAATGAAATGAAACAATGTTTGTTTTTATCAAATTATTCAAATTAATTATCCAATTAATAACAAATAATAAGATGATTAAAATTTGTATTTTTAAAAGTATTTAAAATATATTAGATTTAGTAGATAAGATTATGTCATTAAGTGTTGATAAATAAATGAATTAAATAAACAAATAAATAAGAGATTAAAGTAATTCAAATGAAATATAATTGTAGGAGAAAAACAAAAAAAAAAGTATTCTTTTCTTTTCATTTCTATTATAAATGATAAATTATTTATTTGATAAATTTTAGATAATTATATTGATTGTATTTATGATGTAACTATTGCTTATCCGGTAAATATTGTTCAATCGGAAATTAATCTTATTTTAACCGGTCGTACACCACAAAAAGTATTATTTCATATTGAACGCATTGATCTGTCATGTTTACCGCCTAGAGATGATGATATTGCTCAATGGATTAATGAGTATAACTTATATAATTCGTTGTCTTTTTTTTTTTATTTCATTTTAAATTGAAAAAAATTTAAATTAAACGTAATTGTAAGCTTAGAAATTATTAAATTTATTAAATAGGATATATGTTATCAAATAAGTAAATATAAGTAAGTAAATAAATAAATAAACAAGAGATTAAAGTGATTCAAAATTAAATATAATTGTAAGCTTACTAGATAGAATTATGAGATTCATTTAAGAGATAAAATTTAGATGAAATGCTTGAAATATTTTTTTGGAAAAAAAATCATAAAATTATACAATTTTTAGATTATGGATTGCTAAAGACGAGAAATTAGATTCATTTTATTCACAGCAACCGCCACGTATACATTTTCCAAATGATAACAATAAATTTATATGGGAGGTTAGTAAATAGAAAATTTAGAAGAGTAATGGATAAAGAAATGTTAAAAAATTTAGGAGATAAATTTGAAGAGCTATTAAATAATAAATTATTTCAGGATGATAATTCACTTCAGAAGACAGTCAAATTGTTTACACTATGCTTTTGGTTATTACTTATTACACTTTGGTTCTATCATTTAACATTTCTACGATTTGTTCAAGTATTATGTTAAATCTTTTTTTTTTTAATTAATAAATAATCAAATTGTAAAATATGTAATCAATCATATAAATTGCTAAGACTTAATATAAT